CACCAAAAGCGGCGATGGAGCAGAGACGTCACGAGTTGCAGAGCCCGGGGGGGAAAATGAGTTGACTCGAGGACGACTCCGTTTCAATGTGCTTGATACTATTTGCGTGTGGCGAGCTGTTGTTTGTCTGACGCAACGGAGCAGAGACTGGGGGCGCAATCTCGCACAAAGAAAACAAAGGCGGATGGCAGCTGAGCTTGGCAGTTGGATGAGGGAAATAAATCAAATTGTCGGGTCTTCAGTGCTTGACAAGTCAATGCCAGCAATGAACGGGACAGGAGAAGACTGTAGGGTTGGGAGGGAGGAGGTGTGGGAGGAGTGGAAATGAAGGTGAAGAGAAGAAGAAGAAGAGAGGAAGTTCTTAGACAGGACACAAGAGTAAGAAATTTTGGTGGTGGCCTTCAGCGGCAAAATTGCCCGTCTAGAGTGTTCCCCGGCTTGATTATTGTTCTTATGACTGTAGTAAGTCATTGTCCTACAGAAAATTATGAGTTTCTCTATGAATTGATCCCGGACTATTCTGTCTTCAAACATGATGCTCATGTTCATGGTGATTCTTGCTGGTATTATTATGATGTTATTGTGGCCATGTGAGTGTCGCCATCCGGGATATTGGTCGACTCTTCTTGGCCCACCCCATACAACATCTCATCCAAAACTGAAAACTGCTAGATTGGAAGGAAAAAAATATTTCAATATGCTATTAATTATCTTACAGAAAAAACATACTCATTCTCGAGGTATCTGCTTGGAAGCCGCCGTCACAACCCGAAATTCCCTTCACTGTGCCTCCATTGATCCATAGCTAAAAGTTACAAGACTCCATCTGTGTAAGAAAAAACGCCCATTCACTCCTTTTGGACTCTGCTTTCCTCTCAATTGACTTCCGAGTCATCGTTCCGGTTGGCAGACTGGCCGTGGCTAAATGGTGTGGCCAACCGTGGGGTTCTCACAGTCGTGTCGACCACATCACTGTCATAGGTTACCCCGTCCAGCATGCGAGCGTCATGCATCTGTTCCGGCGTATTCGATCCTGCAGGAGATAAGGAAGAGGACACGGCGGCGTTGTCTTCAACTCCAGGCTGGTACGACGCGAGGGGGTTTGCTCGGCTCATGCTAGGACTTCCAGCTCCCAGCGAACTCGGACGACCTCCGGACGACATTCGGTTGAGACTGGGATGCGAAATCGGGCCACTGATCGTACTGGCGCCCTCTCCAAATGCAACCAGGCTCGCGTCGCCTTCACTGATATTTCCCACGCTAGAGGTTTCGTCATCGTCGTTCGTGTCTTCGCTCATCTTGTCCGCGTCGAGCGCATCGCTACCACTTGCCCACGTAGTACGAGCACCCACGCTGCCGGTGGCGCTGGCACTGCCCACAGTGCTTCTTTCTTTGAAACCGGATCCGCTGTCAAAGTAGCCGGGGCCGTGCGCCGTCGCGAAGATGAGATTCGACTGAGGAACACCTCCTGCTCGGACGGTTGCGACACGCTCCAGCCCGGCGAGACGAGAGATGCGATCGGCTCGCTCCGCCTCCAGGGTAGATGTAGACGTCGCCGAGGCAGAGGATGAGTGATGAGCATGTCGCCCGTGTGGTAGAGGCTGGCCCTGATGGCCGTCTTTGATAGCGGTGGTGGAGAGTGCAGAGAGGGAGGTTGTGCCTGAATTTGGGGTGCCTCTGTTGAACAATGATACTAGTCAATTCATTGCGCTTTTCTTCTTCAAGCGATGCACTATCTGGTAGATTCTAAAAGAAGACGGGGGGAAAGGAAAGGGATGCTCTTACGGTCCCATGTCCGACGGCGTGACAGGATCCGAGGGTGGGGGAGGTAGATCTATGAGGGTCGGCGTCGTCATTATGTCGGAGTCTTTCTGCTGTGTGGGAATTGTGGTTTTAGAAGGAATAAGATTGATCAGAGCAGAGTAGAGCAAAGGAGAGTGACGTCTGGCTTGAAACAATCGAGATGCGCTGGTGTCGCAGCTAAACTGTTGGACTCCTCGTCGATAATCAGAAGGGCAGATAAGATAGATAAACGACGATAATCAGAAGAAAAGAGTCAGATTGAGATGCTTGCAAAGGTGGTTAATAATGTAATAAAATATGATAGTCAAGATGCAGTCAGTGAGAAGATCACTTTAAGGATTTTTCTTCATGCACGGGAAGCGCTCTGGAATGACGAGGTGGATTATGGCTTGCCGTATGCATAGAAACTCTCAGTCAGGTGAAGTGAGGCGTTTCTTCCAGAATAGAATAGGGTCAAGTGAGGCAGGCTAATCTGGTTCTAGTCAGAGCAATAGTAGTTTATTGATGAGCAGTGGCTACAGTGGAGTTTGTTGCGTTTCTTGTGGAACCTCCAATGAGTCCATAATAACCTCTGTAATAAATATCCCATCTCTTTGTCTAATATTCGGTCATTTATAGTGTCTGACTGTCTTTCTGTCTGTCTTTGATGAGGGTTGCAGACGACGAAAGGAGGGGGAGCTGACGTCATCGCAACGATATAAGTCATCAACCAATCACAGGTGCAAATCCAGTAGCAGGTAGGTATCGATGCCTGATATCGAACGCCTTCATTGGTTTGTTTCATCGTTCGAGAAGGACGGATGGACGGATTTTGCAACTGTATTCGATTGATCGCTATGTAGTCATAACTCATTGCTCGGCTGTCTTTGACATAACTTATATATACCAAGTCTCCCCATCCAGGTCACCCGCATAAGCACATTGTAGTCAATGTATCATTCACTTCGTTATGGGTTCAAATGTAGCAAGTAGACCCTCGTGCCAGGTGCATGTATAGCACCGCAGTCTATCGTAACATTGTAAATCCTCTAGTGACTGACCTTGCGGCTTTCATAGTGACCACGGAGATCATCCACTTCTTTCTGTAGCCGCGACAAATCGGCCAAGATGTCACTGGCATTCGACGGACGAGGCATAAAGTCCTGATCCTCTGCCCGCTTCTCCTGTGTAGGTTGGCTCCCACTGTTGCTATGACTGCTGGAAACTCGGTTCCTCCTTGGTGGGGGAGGTGGTGGCAGCGGGTTCACCTGAGATGCTCGCCTTGACAACCGCAGCTCACATTGACCAGAACCAGGTTCTGCCTCGTCTGACATCGGCGGAGCTATTCCGGGCTCCTGAGTTCGAGGACCTGGGCTCGAAGGAAGAGATGCATTCATCTCAAATTTTCCAGCTGGCATTGATAGTCGAGACAGATTTGTTCTGGACATAGTGCTTTTGGATCTCCTCATCTGGCTATGTCGTCTACTCAGCGGCGGCGTTGGCGGCCGCTTGTGCTGTGACTGGCTACGTCTGAGCGTTTCAGCTGATTGAGGTGCTGGGTTATCATGTAGAGGAGTAAAATAATCAATCCTCGGCTGAGATGACCTGCTGGGAGGTGTATCTGGTGTTAGAGAAAGGGATGTCTCCGAGGAAGTGCCATGGTAGGAGAACCGTTTGGTCGGCCGAGGGGGTATCGGTCGGGAATGAGAAGAGGTCGCATGAGGACTGGGATTTATCAACTTCCCATGATGGCTTTTAGGTGGTGGTGGTGGTTTCTTATCCCTGTTTGCCGAACGCACAGCAAGAGGCTTCGGGCCAGTCTCAAACTCGGATGATGGAGCAACTGTATGTTGCCCAGGAATGCAGGCAGTACCACTGCCCGTATGAGCTACCCCGCGAGGAGCTGATATAGGTACAGGCGCACTCGGCGTCGCATTCATCGTATTCCCCCGCAGGTTCTTCTGGTTTTCCAGCGCTCCCAAACGATTGCTGTCTTCTGTTTCCGCATTCAGTCCTGCTGAGGAGGCGAGAGGACTCGTGGGAGTCGGTATTACTGCTCCTTGGGGGAACGTCGTTGGGTGGGGAGCGATGCTGAAAGCTGAGTGACGGCGATCAGCTGCGGGGGTCCAGCGATGAAAAGATGACGACTCCCAGGGCTCATCACTGAGCTCCTCCCCGTCATCCACATCATTGTCGCTCATGTGCGAACTTTTTTGGAATGGGTCTGGCAGTGACTGATCGTCCGAGGTTTGAGAGTCGTCAGCATCTGACGTCGAGGATCCGGGAGGGGTCACGGAATGGCCATGAGGAGTTGCGGACGAATTGGTCAGAGATCCGGCAGTCAACGGAGCAGCAGGGTAGGATGAGTTTGTCGAGACGGAGGACGGCGATGGATTAGGAGGCACTGCTAATGAAAATCCGTCAGCGTTGACCTTATACACAAAGAGCATCAATAGTGGAGGCACACCTCTCGGGGGCCAGTCACCGTCGTGCCCAGCATTCGGAAGGGGCGGATGGACCTCACTCTCTGGCTTTTTAGGGCGGAAAGGATTTAATCCAGACATCGCAGAGTAAATGGCTCCCACCGACCATGAGGGCAGGGAGAATGGAATTGATGAAGGGAGTTACGAAGGATGGAAGGTGAGATGGCAACAGCTACGGCGTTTAAGCTATGGAGGGCCGGTCATCCGCGCGGCTTCCGGCAAGCGCAGAGCATCACAAGTCGCGACGGCCAACGGGGTCGGGACTTGCGCACTTCTGTAATCATGAACAAAGCACGTTTGGTGCGTAGATAGAATGGGTTATTTCTTGTTCAATGGATGGTCAAATTTGATGGTGCTTGTTTGCATTCTGTCTGTATTCGATTGTCCTCCAACCGTTGCCTCAAAATATAGTAAGGACACCAGAGTTAAAGAAAACGCGATCAAGAAAAAGGCTATATGTTACATTGCGAAAATAATATCCGACCCGCATATTCAAGGGTACCCAGAAAGAATATAGAAGAAAAGCACGTAGCGCGTGTTGAACAATTGAGAACAGGAAGAGGCCGCCTTCCCAAACACCTGAGGTTATACAAACAGACACGAAGGGTCATCACAAGATTCCTAACTCGGGCTCATCCATCCCGAGAAAGAAGGGTATCATCTGGCCCATTCGAAAGAAGAGATTCAAAACGCAAATCAATATCCACTTGAGCTCGCGTGCGCTGGTGACCAGTTTTAGCTTTCGTTGTAGACATGCCACTGGACTCCTGGCCCGAAGAAGGCCTGTGCTAAACGATTCCCACTCGCTGTCGGTTGGCTAAAAGCAACCTGCTCCTTGGGAATCTCCATCCCATAGATAAAGTTGGTCACAACGCAATCAAGAAGATCCATGGCGATTCCTCGCCTTCGAGATGAGCCCGATGTCCAAATGCGCGAGATACCCACGATAGCGGGGTGCACCTCGTCCCGGACGGTAATCGCAGAGTCGGTCGGCTGATCGGCTCCATTTTGAGCTGGTGTCGAGCACTCCACGGGCCGTGATTCCCAGATACGCTCAGTGAGACATGCTCCCACGCACCGGCTGTCCTTCATGTGCAGAAACACCTTGTAGCGATCCACTTTCTCCTCTGCACCGTTCTTCCGCAGATGTTCTGGCGGCTCCGTTTGGCTCCATAAGACATCGTCTGAGATTTCAGGCGCAGACAACTCCTTGCTGATCACTTCCAGAACCTTCTTGGCCTGATTCTTCACGGTCGGAGAAGCCTTGCGATCCACAATAACAACGTAACCTTCGTCGAACCGAGTGGCTTCGTAAACCCAGCGGCATGCGTTCGCCCTCATAAAAGCCTTCCCCAAATCCACACCGGTCGAGTTCATGTCGTGAAACTTCTTGTGAAGCGCCGCGTCCTCCGCATTGGAGGGCACGTACTCCATCCCACAGGTAGCACAGGTTTTTCTGACTTCGTGGCCCAGATCAATCTGCATCTGTTTCAACACGGGTGGTTGCGACTGCGCCGCCTTCTTCTTGGGGGGATCGACCGACGACCGCACACTGTTGGAATTGACTTCGGTGAGCGGGGAGCCATTGCTCGCATCTTTCGTCGATGATTGCTTGCGCTTCAGAAATGAAAAAGCGGGTTTTCTCGTGTTTGCCGGGGGAGGGGTCAATCTGGGAGGCGGCGATGATGGAGGGGTGGACAAGTCATCGTCATGCGTCCCCTCCGAGAGAACTACTGAATTGCGACGCGACGGGCTCGATAAAATGGCAGCTGAAGACTCGCGAATAGCATATTGAAGACTGTTTTCCGCGTCGTCGGACTCGTTGCCCGCCTCGACGCGTCGCTTCTTCGCGGCAGGGCCATTATCGTCGTCGTCATAGACGCGCCATAGAGATCTTCCGTAAGTTTTCATGAGTCCTCTAGAACTGGACAAGTTAGAACGGCAGTAGATTCAAGGAGTGAATAGCGATAATAGTGACCGAGCAAAGAGAGTGAAGGGGTAAAGACAAAACAGCAAAACGTACCGCTTGAATGAATTTGTTACAGTCCACGGCATCTCCCTTATTTTTCTTCAGAGCATGGATTCAACCGAGTCGAACATCAAGAGCATATGTGTGGAGCGCTGATGGGAGGCGAATGCAAAAGTGAAGGAAGAGTAGCAGCAAAGATGATTTCCTAACGAATATATTATTATGATGGATCTTCTTCTTATTATTATTATTATTATTATGGCGATATTTTGTTCCAGCCAACAGGCGGATTTTGGCGGAAACAATAATAATAAACCGACGATAAATAATCGCGATACGTACCTCCGTATGTAAGCTTGATCGACGAGTGACGGAACGCGTTGCCTCAGGCGCTAATCCACATTTAGTCATATTACATCGCTCGGGCGCTTGACAGGGATCATTCTTCAGTTGCCCTTCCACAGTTCCACATACCTTAAGGAGGTAAGGTTAGCACAACAGATACTAACGGGCCACTAGGTGACTAGAGGCACCAAAGCCACCAAAGCGGACTAGGTTCTTGTTGGATCAAAACGGTCGGGAGTCTGTTGGTGATAGCAGCAATGTGAAAGGATCTTAATGTTTCGGACACGAGGCTACCAATCTAAGCCACTGACAACGGAGGGTTTGTACGATGAAAATGACTCAGACGAAGGACGCGGTGCTCCCGTAGTTGCACACAAGGGCTTTGTCGATAATTCAGAAATGGATGCAGGACGAGAAGAATGATGGGGGTTAATACTCCGTATATGTAGACAGATTCAAGGGGAAGTAGTAGAAGATACGGATATGGAGAACAGATCCCGGAGGTATCTCCAGGCTACCATTAATATAGGACACGGAGGGGCAGTGATGATGATATTAATATGATATTATAATTATTAACAGTGAACACAAGTGGATATTGGATGCTCACTGTTGGCTTTTGGGCAGCTGTAGATCGTGGGACACTGGGGTTAGGAAAAGGAGCAGCAGCTGGTATGATTTAGCTAGTGGCATGTCCTCATTTCCATTAGGTTTTGCCTTCTGCCTCCTATACCAATAATAATAGGTGAGTGCTCCGTACTAGTTACCTGGGAATCTTCTCGTGGGCTGAATTTGCCTCCTGAAAGCATGACAGCCTATGTGTGGCCACCAACCACAATCGTCATACACGGCTGGAGGAGTCTCAGGGCCACTCGTCGGTAGGGGAAGCTCTCTTGGCTACTCCATAGATACCTTGCTTGGGTAGGTTCAATACAACCACTGTCGAGGATTGACAATTCGATATTGGTATTACTATTGACGTGATAGGTGTGTACTTCCTTGTTTTGCTTGCCTTGTCTTCCTACATAACCCGACCAATCTATCCTATCCCATTTTGACTTCTGGTTGTATGCCGAAGGGTTGATTGGCAACCTTGGGATGGCAACTGACAGCATGCCAGAGATCGTTCATTCCTTTCCGTACGTGCTCTTCGCTCAGAGATCGTCTGCAGCTTTGGTACACACGGTGTTGCGGATTCCCCAGCCTCACCTATGCCCTTGCTGAGAGAGCTCACGAGCCACGACTTTACTGGACTGTTTACAAGAGAGGTGTACGGAATTGCGCCTCGCCTTTTACGCTTCGTGATGTGGCCCATCTGCCTTTCTGGCGACTACTCATTCGAGATGATAGACCTGAATACCATAAAGGTGAACAAAGTCTCATCTCATACGGATTAGAAGCATCACTGAAAGGGGTGTTGGATTTGACGGCATCCAGGCAGATGTACTCGAAGTAGGCAACAACAGCAACAATTCATACATTGATTGTTCGGAAAGTCGCTGACTACAGGGTGTTTGTTTCGTACGACTACCTTCTGATCATGTATCTGACTTTCGGTTCTCCCATTTCGAGGAGGCACAAGAAGGTAGGACGACATTGACATGGATCCAGCCGGCATCTGCAGCATCACTCGGTCTTGTTTCCCACTATCGTTAATGGCTGTATGATGATAGGAGTGATGTCAAATGTCGGTCATTTGTGATACGATCAGTCAGATCAATGACTGTGATCCAAACTGCTAATATCTCGATTCTTTTTCGTTGGAAGACGGAGTGCTAGAGCTATGAAGCCGCCACTCCCTGTGACTTTTGAAGGATAGACGCCTTCGAATCAATGGAACAGATGTGGTCTTCGATCTGGGGCCCGTCGGTCATTTCGACATAATATTTCTATGCGGTAGGCAGGCAGGAGCTTTGTCAATTTGCACACCAGCGATGTGAATGGGCTCACGATCACCGACCGCTCCTCTGGCAAAGCTAGAGTTGTACTCCTTACTTGCCATGCAAATGGCTGCTGATCAGATACCTGTAAAGACACGTGAGCTAGCGGTCTCTACGACCACAATCACAGTCACCCTGGACTTACAGAATGAATGTCCCTCTTGTGTATCAGGAGACTACAGGGTTGTCCTCTGTAACAGACACACTCTTTAAATGCGTCAAATCAGTCAATAGTGTTGCTGGCTAGACTAAGGTATTGGATGGCATCCCACGTCTCTGTCCTCCTCATGCTCAGTTCGAACCCCGCATTGAATCTTGAAGGTGTTGAGCACACATATATTTTACTTTTGCTCGAAGTGTAGACAGAGCGACCCACGCAAGATATATACAGTAAGACAGTGCATGATCGACCAATCATTTGTCAATGACAATATGATCCCCGCAAAACTGAGGCAGATGTGGGCTACTAGGCTAGGTACCAGCTTGATGCACTGCCTCTACGTAGGATTTTGTTACCAGGGAAGCCCATACATAGATTAGATGGGAAGACGAGGTGTCAGGCCATCGACGCCGGAGGGATTTCTTACTATCTTCCTGCAGGACGCTCACAGTGTGGCCTATCAGGTCGGTTGTATTGATTACTTTTGATGTTGCTATCGGTTGAGATCCTGCGTGAGGGAGAATGCGCCGGGTTCGTAAGAAAATAGTGCTGGTCCAAGATGATCTCGGCTGCAGCAGAGTATTTAGAGCGTCCAGGTCAATAATACAGATGTAGCCCGTAACTTGCTTACTGTGATAGCTGGTAGGTAGGCTTCTCTAGGTACACGGTGGCTACAAATTATCCAAGTGTGTCGACGCCCTCGGAAGTTCTCAACTCCCAGCGGACGCTACAATCTCTGTTGAACACCACGCGTCTCCTATTAGCGTCAGGAATATCCGATGTTGAATATGAGGGTGGAATTTATTATTCTGGATTCAAAAATTCCATGGTAGATGAAGGATTCGTTGGTAAGCAAGGTGTATAACAGGGCTACCTAGGAACTCTTCACTTCGGTGCAGTACTTGGATTGGGGCGGAAACCACCATACGAATAGCTAAGGCTCTTTTCCCATGGAAACGACCTAGTTAGATGCCTTAGCTAAGAAGAATGTATAGTGATGATAAGTATTATTGTCCGTCTACACGACGAATCGACCAAAAAGTCCGTAGTAAGCAGTATATACATACGAATTATACGCTGTAGTCTTCTTATCCCGCTTCTGAACCTGTGGCTGACCGAGAAATCTCCTCCTCTTCCTCTTTTTCCCTCTTCCGTTTCTTTGCCTATTGCTCTCCCCCGACAATTTTTTATTTTCTCTCTCTTGGTTGAACGCCTCTTCAATTCTTCAATAGATCTATATTCCTCTTCTGGCTATCAGAATCTTCAAGGGAAGAATCCTTCAGCAATACAGGCACCATGTCGGACGCTGCTCAAGTCGCCGGGAAGAGAAAGAGACCCAGTATGTATCTGTCATTTATCGATCTGCTTCTGTCCTTTGTTCCCCTTCCCTCTTCACGCATTTTTTTCGTACCTTTTTCCCCCCTCTTGCATATATCTGCTCAAATTTCTTTTCTGTTAAAAATTATCTCTCTGTGATCTACGCTTTGTCTTGGAAGCGTCCATATATCCTATTTCTCTGGAAGTTTGTCAAAGAGATTTTTTTCCAAAGCAGACATCATTCACAATTCTTCCCGCATGCTTGTGTCTCACCTTGAGCGCAACCCTCCGTGTCACTACTCCGAATCCAGACTGGCCCTCTCCCTTCCCCTCCCTTGGAATTAGATTTGTTTCATCTGCCAGGCTCCGGCGATCACCTTACCCCTCCCTTGGTGCTACACCAACGGTGATCGAGCATCCAACATGACTGACCACGATCGATCTTCAGGGACCCAGTCTTGCCCGCCTCCCGAGTTGCCTCAACTGGTCGCTGAACAGCATGTCCCTATTCCTGCCAATGACAAGGAGACAAAGCGCTTGATTGTCGTTCTCTCCCATGCCAGTTTGGAGACATATCGTGCTTCCCATGGTGGTCGCAATGGCTCGGGTCGGGATGAAAAATACTCGTTGCTCAATAGCGATGAACACATTGGTGTGATGCGCAAGATGAACAGAGATATCAGTGAGGCTCGGCCTGATATCACCCATCAGGTTTGACTCGCTCAGGCTCCATGGAAAGATCTGATTTGAATTGCTAATCTCTTCGCTCTTCCTCCACTCAACAGTGCCTTCTCACTCTGCTCGACTCGCCGATCAATAAGGCTGGCAAGCTCCAAATCTACATCCACACTGCGAAAGGCGTCCTCATCGAAGTTAACCCATCCGTCCGCATTCCTCGTACCTTCAAACGTTTCGCCGGTTTGATGGTTCAGCTGCTGCACAGACTCTCCATTCGTTCCACCAATTCTCAAGAGAAACTGCTTAAAGTCATCAAGAATCCTATTACGGACCACTTACCTCCCAACTGCCGTAAAGTCACCCTCAGCTACGAAGCCCCAGTTGTGCGGGTCAAGGACTACATTGATTCCCTGGGTCCCAAGGAAAGTATTTGTATCTTTGTCGGTGCCATGGCAAAGGGCCATGATGACTTTGCGGACTCATTCAAGGATGATACTATCAGTATCAGCAACTACAGTTTGAGCGCCAGTGTTGCGTGCAGCAAGTTCTGCCATGCTGCGGAGGAATCATGGGGCATTCTTTGAGCGACGCCGCGAATCGGAGCTCGAGAGCGGCCATATTTTGACGACTGACGAATTTTCTTTTTCGCTACCTGCCACCCGGCGCCGAGGTCGAAGTATAGCGAACGCTAATCTTGGGAACGCATGCCTTTGAACGCATGCCCCTTATTCTCCGCCTTTGGATTCATTGCCTCCCGTTTCGCGTCTGTTCTGGTATCATCCCTACGTTCTCCCTCTCGCTATTAGCTTCCGGGACCAGTGTGTGACTTGATACACGACCACCAATACGACATTACGCTTTTTTCGAGGTCTTGAAATTTTCTTGGACGGCTTTTCTTTCCTCCCATCAAGGGGACAATCGAATCCTTGTGTTCCGGTACTCTGAAAAGCTTCCATTCCAAGCCCATCCACCATGGAGTGTTGAAGCTAAGAGACAAGAATCAGACTAGGTTTTTGCCTTTGAATTTTTGCCTCCTGATTTATCCTCCAGAGTGCAAGGGACTGGACCGCGCTGGGTGCCCGTACCACGTGAATCTAAAATCAGTACGATCGATAACTGAGCCTTCGGGTTGGTCTTATATATGAATATATATAAATCAGATTCATGTACATTTTCAGCATTCCGGACCGTAGGTGTATTACCATATAAACGTCTATCGATCAGCCTGTCATTGTCCAAGTCGAAGGAAACAGGAAGCTGCTCGGTCCGATCAGTGAAGAGCATGAAACAAGACTCATACCATGTGGACTTTAATGATGAGATAGAGAATTCTCCAGATTCCGTAGAGAATGATTGACCAGGAATCGGACAAGATGAGGATGAGTGCCTGAGATAACAGGCATTTATTTACCAAGGCACCGACAACTGTATTTGGTCGACTCCCTTTTTCTCCCTCCAACTCTGCAGAATAAAACACTTGTCAAGACGACAACGGATTCAAGATCCTGCGATTACTTCGCCTGCTGCTTCTTACAAACATGCCTACCAGGGGATTCATTATTGATCGGCTGGCCCCGGTGACTGAAGGTGAACTATGATTAGACTGGCTTCGACGTGGCACGCAGAGAGGCTTGCATTCTCATCTAGGTGGACCTTCCGCTTCACTTTTTCTCTCTTTGGCTGCAAAGGTCTAGAGTATGAGACTCATCCCCAATTTTTATGATTGCTTGGCCCCTGGTCTGTCCTGTATAGACGACATGGTCGGCTACTGACATGAGTAGATGCCACATAATACTTGGCGCATAGCTCGGGCAGTCTTTCCGGACAGCGATGGCGGTCATCGATTGTGCATCTACAATCTGGTTCCAAAACAATCCAGAGCGAGGCTGGACCATGATGGTCATCTTGTCATTCGACTGATCGCTCCAGCGTTTGGAAGAGCGCTGTCTTATGTCAGTCTCGCACTCCTGACGACACCATGAGATGGTGCATCGCCCAAGGCACAGTCGCAGATAGTGGATGCATTTTGGCGGTCTGACAGCACCATCTGGCGACTAGGAGCAGCAAAAGTGCCCAAACACGAACCGGATTGGAGCATCCCAGAACAAACCATTGGTCTGAGTCGTGAGAGAAATCCCCTCTAAGCTCTGCCTCACTCCCCATACGACTACATACCACTGACAAGTCCGTCTGTCATTTACTGTCGCACCATATCCATTTGATGATCTAGTGGGCCTCATTTCTGCAATCATCCTCTCAGGCCGTTGCAGTAACCGATAACAAGTCAGTAACACTCACCATTTTTGAGTGGTGATCCTATTCTCCCATTCAGTATCCGTAATTCGACATTTTTTCAGCAGTCAGCGCGGTGTCAAGTAGTATTCATCATGGTCAATTACCTCGAACCTTGGTCTATCCATAATCCAATGTAACAACGCTTCGCACAGGGACACCCGATGGCTTTCTAACTCGCTTTGGCTCAATTCCAAGCAGTTTCCCACTGTTCTTTGATGAGCGCCCCATTTGACCTGGGCAGGGCCACCTACTGGACCGTCCGCCGCGTCCAGCGGCTCCCCCCGGCGCCCCACGATGACCTGGCGCCATGGAGTCGCTCTAAGCTTCACCGAAGAGGAAAGACGAGCGTGGCATCAGGAGTTTCTTGACTCCATGGTTTTGATAACCATTGGAGCTCACCTTTCCTGGTTAGGGCCTGCAGGGCCCGGACTCTGGTCGAGGTACGGTGGATAATCTTGGCCACCCTTTCGGATGCTTTGAGAATCCAACTAGGCATGAGACTTGTGCCTGTACTATTGCCAAAGCTGTATTCCTGGAGGGGTTCGTTTCCCTTCATGGATACGTACATTTGCTCTAAGCTTCCGACCGTCTGTTATTGGATATCGGTTGGGCATGCTTAGGTCTCTCCATCTGTACAGCACGACTTGCCTTAAAATAGCACCGTCAGTCCTTTCGTGCTTCTAGACTATCCTCTTCGCGTTGAAAGTGTCTTTCAATCATCCGCATTCTGTACCCAAGAATTCGAGCATTATATATAAGCTGTCCTCTGCTTAGGAGGATCATGAATCTCAGCTCCTCTTTTGATTCCTTTCCTTGGATGTTGTTCATAGACATCCTTGTTTTGTGACTCGACTTTCTTATATCTACGTATCATCGTTGTGGTCACAAATACTGCCCTGAACTCCTGGAGTATATACTCGGCGAGTCGACTCCAACGCAGACATGCCTCTGTCCCACCTCACCCTGACTGTCTCTCACCTCCCAACATCGACTTCCTTCTTCCTCTCCTGCCTACAGCCCCTGGGGTATCATTTTATTGGTCGCCATGATGACTATATTGGATTCGGTCAGAAATCAGGCGAGCCGGCAGACTTCTGGATAACAGAACAGAAGCCAGGGTCAGTATTCTTTCCGAACACCCTACCATAGCCCCATTGACCAGGACGAAATCATAGATCGCCAGCTGGTGCAGCACATGTTGCTTTCCCTGCGCCGTCAAAAGATGCTGTAGGATCCTTCTTCATCAGTGCACTGAAAGCCGGCGGAAAGATTCACGGTGAGCCAAAGACGCGCGACACGGACTCGGGATACTACAGTGCAGCAGTGATCGACTTTGACGGCAACAGCATCGAAGCTGTGTACCGTCCGGGTATCTCTGCTGCCAAGTCAGAAGTTAGTGCACCAGCAATTGGCCTGCTTGAGAATGGGTCCGTGGTGTCCCGAGCTAGCACAAAGGTCAGCTCCGTCAAGCCTCAAAGTATCGCTCCCTCTGCCAGGTCAGAGGCCAAGTCGTACGTCTCAAGGGCGACTACTGCTGTAGAGCGAACTGCACCGACCATCATCTCGCGGGAGATTCAGCAAGCGCCGTCTCCTACCTATATTGTCAACCATACAACTCACACCACCCAAAAGAAGGACGACAGCACAGCCAAGACAATCGTTGGTACGCTCATTGGAGCGGCCGCAGGTGCCGCAATCGCTTATGCAATGACCAAATCCGAGTCACAGTCCTCGGAGGCCACTCCTCCTCCGCAGTACTCAGCCCGGGATTTCCCTCAGCTGACGTCTCCATCGCAAGCTCCCTCGCTAGCTCAGGAACATCAGGGCTACAGGGCTATTGACGCTCCTCCCGCCAGGAGCACCTTCTCCCGAGCAGATGTGCGATCCACTCTGACCCGTAGTGTCTCGTCGAAGAATCCTCGTGCGAGCACAATATACGAAGGCACAGAGTTCGTCCACCCCCGTGGAGAAAATGGCAGCGTGTACCTCGACGAAAATGGGCGTCGTGCCTCGGATGGGAGTGTCTACTCGGTGAGGGATATCCCTCTGAGGGCGATTGAGTACCCCCCACCGGCCCGTTCGACTACGTATCCATGCAACCCCAGCACTCTCATCAGCAGCTTCCCGGATAAGTCGCGAGCCATGGATAAAGAGAGCGTCTATTCAGCATCGACTGCCAAACCATCCAAAGCCAACTATCAGGATTACCACTCTTCCCGCCATTCCTCGCATCAGTCAGCGGCCAGATCCCTGGCCGGAAGCACGACCTCCTCCGCGCGAACGGCCCGTCAGGTCCCGCTGCCCGAAGGATCCGTGACATCTTATGTGTCGTACCGCAGCGGTGCAAAGTCGGGTGTCTCTGCCCGTGAGATCCCGCTTCCCCAGAGCGTCGTGGATGACTTTGACATCCAAACCAATATCACGCCGGACGATTCTATCAGTCAGGTCGATTTCTCACGAAGGTCCTCCTACTCCCATCAATCCCACCGCTCAAAAGCCCCCTCTCATGTCTCCAAACGATCCAGCAAATTCGACGAACCCGTCCAACCGAGCGACAGCGTCAGTCAGGTCTCGACCAATGTGTCCAAGGTGTCGCAGAGGACCATCAAAGCAAACGGCAGTATAGCTGGGGGGGCTTCCAAGGCTCCATCCAAGGTCAGCAGTCGGCGAGGCAGCCAGGTTGCCTGAACAAAGTCAAGGACCCGCAGCTTGGTTCCTCATCGTCTTCTTCAACTGCTCGCTTCTTCGTTCTATCTGGACTCCTCAATCAGCCATGTAACGACAGGGTAACCGCAGCATATCTCCACGCATTAAACAGGCAGCAAGGTCGGGCGTTTTTGTTTTTCGTCGTCTCATTGATTGATTGTGCATTGATGTCTAGTACATATACTCGAAACACATAGACTATTGTATGATGCGGCCATAGACCAGTTCAAGAAGCTGGCCGGTCATCTTGATTTATCGTTCTCTTTCTTATGTTCTTGATTGTCTCCTACTTTCCCATCTTCGCTTCTGTTCTATTTACCTCTCATGCATTTGTTGACATTACAGGTCGATCAGCACCCTTATTCTTATGAACATCTCGCATGCATGTCTGAGTAGTCCCTGTCCTTATTCGCATACTGAAGCCCATTCTTGTGCTTTAGCTCAATGGATGTCTGTCTATATTACATACTGGGTAAATAGAGAATCTGGTATCGTCCAAACCGAGCTGAGCTTTCATACTTGGCCCTGTCGCATAACAACATCCAGACTTCAGTAGAACGACGAAATCCAGACACCCGTGGGGCTGCTCGCAGAAGGGCTCTTGGTTTAGACTAGATCTCTACAAGTACGACAGATCAGAACCCATGGAAAGCACAAGCATTGAAAGCAAACTCATTCTTAACCGGTCAACGGGTCGGACGTGGTCTTGCCTTTATACCTATCGCTATCTAATACACACCGTTACCACCACCGGCGCACCACCAAGCCTCCCTCCTTTTCCGCTCTCCTCACGACTCACGCGACCTCTCTCCTCTCCCCGAGGCAAAATCCTCAAGCCATACGAGCCACAGCTTCTGCCGCCCAAAGACCCGGCCTTGAGGTTTTTATGTTCATCAAATGGATTGTCGAATTCCATCCAGTCGAGATCGAAAAAAAAAAAGGTGCTATGAATGCATCAAAGACAATTGGTCATTATGATCGTAGGACATGACACTTCCCGCCGTTAGAGAAAGCGCAGAGAATAACACGAATTTAGAGACACGCGATTGTTTCACAGTAAGAACAAGGAATGGATCTACGATCACGGTACGCCAGGCTTCGGATCTGATCTAACGGAGTGAAAGATGACGCAGAAAGAATTGGGAAAACCGAGGTGGCCGCGCAGAAGTCAACTGTGAAGATCAAATAGCGTATTTGCGTGTCCATTCGCGGGCTGTCGCTTCGTACCGAGGGCGGTCGGTCTTGTAGACGTGAGCGATCTCAGGCACCAACGGGTCGTCCGGGTTAGGGTCTGTGAGCATTGAGCAGATCGAAAGCAGCACTGAAGAGCGGTCAGCATCTAAGAAAGGAGGATCATTCACATCGATGAATACCTTTAGAGATTGTAAGAGCGGGGCTCCACTGGTCTCGCAGAATGTCAAGACAGATACTGCCATTCGAGTTGATGTTGGGGTGGTAGATACGAGTGGTGAAGTTGACCTTGGGTGGCTTGAATGGATAATCGGTAGGGAAGTGGATTGTCAGGAAGAAGACGCCTCCCGAGTATGGCGAGTCACCCTGTCAAAGAGAAATGTCAGCATTCAAGAGCATAGACGTAAGATACCCAATCACTCTTTTGAGTCACAAATGCGACCAGTGACTGAAATAAGTTGGAGAAACTTACAGGACCCATGATTGTTGCTTGCCAGTGAAACTATTAAAGAAACACCAGCTGTCAGTGGCCATATTCAAAGAGTAATGAGATGCTGGGAGGAAGTTGCAGGACATAGGCGGATTCATGCAGTATGCCGCGCCGCACACGACAGTAACAACAAAACTTGCGACGGAAGGGTCGGGAAGCTATCATACCAGATCATCTCCAACAGGGCCAGCAGAGCAAGAAGAGGGCGGATCACTAGATGAACAATCAATATCAGCATTGTGAAAAGCTAAAGATGACGTCTTGAATTCGGGAAATGGAAGCGCCTCGAGGACGCCCAAGACACCCCGCAGTAGTGGGGTGAACGACACCACGCCGCAGTGGACATGAAGGACAACGACAGAGAGAGCGAAGAACTGAAATATCTTACCGGCCGAGGTCAGTGAGTTCCTTGTTAATTCTCTTGAGAGCCATGTCGGAAGTTCTGTGATATGAAAGAGTGTAGATAAAAGATCAGCCACTCAAGGAGAGGTATTGTTTGTTCTGCACACACAAGAGTTCCGAACGTTAGTACCAAAGATCAGGAAGTGAGTAGTAGATCAACTGAAATAAAACAGAAGAAGATGAAGAGAAGAAAAAGAGAAAGAGAATGATAAAAAATGGGGAGGACTAAGGGTGGACTCACTAGGGACAAGAGATGGATTTGATTACGTCGGAAATGAGAGGGCGAAAAAGAAGAAAGAAGAGCAGGAGGGGGGGAAAAGAGGAAGGGAATTGGGCTGGAAGAGGGAAAACGAGAGTGGAGGAGAGAGAGTGGCAGAGAACCTCAGGCAAACTTCCCGATCAGAGGGTTACTTACGTATAGAGCGGTATTACCGTCAGAATACCCACTATGCTAACCTGAGTAGGTTAGATTGTCTTTAATTTTACTACTCTCCTGCACCAGCCACACTGCGTCATATGGTCTTGTCGTTTCTTAAAGGGTGAATAGTGATCAAGGGTTGGTGATATCCTATCCTTGAACATCGAAAATAAGATCAGCTTGGCTGAGATGTTACACTGGCAACCAACCCTATCTAAGAATATCAGCCCCTGTTGATCGGACCAGGGTGATGTGTCAGGCCTTCCATGCCAACCTTGATGCATTCGCCACTGTCCGCCAGTTGGTAACTTGGTACTTAACTTTAAGTGGACGATCGATACGCCATTACGGATCGATCTTTTGTTTTTCATTCAGCCTTGTCCTTTTTCTTACAGCGAATTACACAGATTTACAAATGATGACAAAGTAAGACTTTGGAGCCTTTTTTGCATCTCGCAAGGCGATGGTGACAAGTAGAAGAACTGAGATATCAGATTTTTTTTTTTGGTACATGTTCATCTTACAGATGTAAGGTTGAGTGTGGACTGAATGAGGACCTGGAAGGTATGAGAATCGTGGTAGCATAGTCGTTTGCTATGGCTTCTTCTGCCTCTATCATGCTGCGGCTTGGATATATACAGGCAATATCAAACATGGTTCCAAAGCAATCATTCCTACAGGTCGACCAGGAAGGGCTAGAATGTCTTAGACAAACGCCTGAACTCCTGTGATGGCCCGTCCCAGTATCAATGCTAAACCCGGGCAATGTCAGTCTTGAACTCATCATGTGGAAATGACAGGCTAAGATATCCGCCGGGTACTCACCGTGAATGTCACTCTGTCCTTCGTAGGTCTGCACCACAAATAGATTGGCTACGTGTCGTCCGATATGGTATTCGTCGCTGGTTGCATTACCGCCGAAAATCTCCTGGAGCCTACTCATCGAAAAAGCTGTTAGTATGATTCGACTCCCAGCAGCGGAAGTCGCAGGAAGGGAGACACATACAGCCGTGCATTCGCCAGAGCTCGATCGCAGTTCTGCCTCTTGACCATGGAGATCATCTCGGGAGTGCTCTTGCCCGCGTCCTTAAGCCGAGCGACCTGAGTGGCAGCCAGCGTTCCATATGCCGCATCAGTGGCTGCATCGGCTAGTTTCTTCTGGATGAGCTGGTACTTCGCCAGCGGGTTGCGCTTGAACTGCTTCCGCTCCAGTGCATAAGTGCGGGCACGGTCGATGCAGTCCTCCAGAGCGCCCATGGCACCGAACGCAATGCCCAACCGGGCACTGTTCAGGCAGGTGAAGGGGCCCTTGAGGCCTTCGACGTCCGGAAACATGTTCTCCGCCGGCACAGGGCAGTCGTCCATCTGGATCATACCTGTGATCGATGCGCGCAGAGCAGTCTTGTTCTTGATCGCTGGAGTCTGCAGTGTGCCTGGCGGGCACTGGCTACGCTCGACGATGAAACCCTTGATCTTGCCGGTCGTCTGCAACTTGGCCCATACCAACATGATATCCGCGATGGGGGAGTTGGTGATCCATGTCTTCGCTCCGGACAACAAGTAGTAGCCCTTCTTGGTCGGGTGTTCGCGCGCAGTCGTCTCCATCGAACCGGGGTCGGAACCGTGGTTGGGTTCTGTAAGACCAAAGCAGCCCGCCAGTTTTCCCCTGGCCAGTTGCGGTAGGAATCGGTCCTTCTGCTCCTGGGTGCCGAACTCATAGATACCCGTCATCGCCAGCGAGCTCTGTACAGACATTCCGGACCGATATCCCGAGTCCACCCGTTCGACTTCTTTTGTGATCAACCCGGAGGCAACCGTACTCGCACCGGCGCATCCATATCCTTCAATGCTCGCGCCGAGAAGGCCGAGCTCCCCCATTTCCTCCAGGATTTTACGGTCATAGTCTTCGTTTCTATAGGCGTCTAAACGAATGCAAATCTGTAAGCGCAAATCACACACATCGTCCCTATGTATGACTTACCGAGAACACGGGGGAGTAATCGCTCTTGGCAGTATTGTCGGGCTGTGTCCTGAATCGCCAATTCCTCTTCCGTGTACAGCTCCGACGCGGCCAGGGGATCCTCCCAATTAAACACTGTCGAATACGCCCGTACCGAAGCATTTTGGCAGACCGCGGGAGCTTTGTACAGGCGATTCGCTGATCGAAGGTGACGCGATGCTGCGCGGAAGATTGACCGGTTCATGATTTATATAAAGGAAAGAATGCGGCGCGAGAAGATGGAATGTGAGTGAAGTAGTACAAATCAAATGAAGACCGGGTATCTATTTTAGTGAATCTCCTCCTGCACGTCTCCCAAGTCGAACTGAAATTGACAGCAGCTGGTGGTTATCCAGAGCAGCAAGGGTGCAACTGAATTGCGGGGAGTCCGATTGTCCGGATAACGCTTGACCTCGGCAGTCGACCGGGATGTTTGTCTGCCCTCCGATGATAGAGCAATTCGAAGTATCGAATTCGTTAGTGAAAGCGAGAATTGGATCAAAGCGAGTCAACCACCGATTTTCATCCATACCTATATATACCCACCTCGAAGGCCGACCTCGGTGATCCTCGGTCATCCGCACCACTTACTTACTCTGGGCCATGTTAAGCCTCGGGATTGTTTCCGCTCCGTCGGTGCCACCATCCAATAACCGTCAGGATAAGCAAAGTCCTAACTAGAGGCATTTGGCTGTCGGTATGATATTCTTGATAATCTATGTGCATGCTCTAGGCTACATGGCTGTCACATCAAATATTTACTCGGTAGCCGGAAGCCTCGCTTCACGATGACGTCTTAACAACATTGGTCTTTCATGCCTCTGCCTTATGGAGTGAATCGTTATGAAGGTGACCGACAGCGGCAGATTGCAGTTACCTATACAAGGGTAGGTTTCGTGATAGAGAAATCGATGTCGGAAGACAAATGCCTTCTCAGTGGGAAGTCAGACGGACTTCCTGGGTTGCATGCTCGGATGGCAACGGTTTGGCCTTTCAAGCCATTCAAAGCAATTGTGGACACATTGACACGACAGTGTGGTGCTCAACAGTTCATCGGCGGACTCAAATATGGATACGTACGACAGAATCTGGAATCGACTGGCTAAGTTCGGTAATAATTGACTGATAATGTCGGAGGTTTCAGCAGAGCCCCAACCTGGGCCCTCGAGTAGAATAAACGGTCCCGTTAATTGCCGTTCTTTCACTAAATGTTGTATTAAGACAATGCGGGTTGTTGCCGATTGACTGCCTCAACAGCTCAAGCAGGCATCTGAGACTGAAGAAAATCGAAGACGCCCGTAGGGAAATACTCCTCGTCGAAGCCCCATAAATCAGCCATCATAGGATCCAGAGAGCCTATCGAGAGACCTGGCTCCCGTTTCCCTTGCAACTGAGCAGGTTCATACCCATTACTGCGCTCAGCCGACAGGGGAGCCATTCCGGGTAGCGGAGGAGGGTGGCTCAGAATGGTGTCTCGTTCACCCAATGGTTGCGCTCCAGGAATGATAATGGGTTTGAACATTGATGTAGCCCCATAGGAATTCTGTCCCAGAGATTGCTGGGCCCCCGAATTTCTCTTTTCCCACTCCTCGAATCCTGTAAGCATCCTGCGCAAGCCACGGGCTATATGATGAGTAAGATGGCGCTCACTAGCGCGCTTGCTACAAGTGACCATCAGCTCAATAATTCTACCAACCAAGGCACGCACGTAAGGCGCATCAATTGAAAGACCTGCCGAGGCAATGGAGTTTTGCTGTCCTTGTGCATTGGCCAGCGGCCCGGAGCAACATTTCGCGGCGATCTTGAGGAGGAACACGGCTGCAAAGGTGATCATGCTGTGGAGATATAGAGGAACGCCAATCAAAGCTCTTTGAATGTCAGGTTCATCGAGTACCACCAGGAGGGTCTCGATCGCAGATTCTATCGCCAGATTGGCATGTTTCTTGCGTTCAGCGGACATTGGCCGCGACGAATTCGAGGAGTGATATGTCCGTAAAGCAACCGAGTTCAGTTGCAGACGAGAGAAGTGGTAGTGCAGATAGACGGCTTTGTAAGGGTATGCACCGACATACCGACTTCCAGCTGTTTCACCTCAATATTAGCGTTCTTTTCATATTACCACCGCAAGCAGATCAAGCCGTTATGCGTACCTAAACGAGGGAGCCAGGCGGA